GATGGCACGAGCAATTAGTTAAGGAATAAAATCTATGTTTCCACCAGAAGTGCACGTTCATGTTGTGTATAAAATGATATATCTTAGAACAATACAGTGTAGCACACTTCGACTTGAAACACTACTGTAATACCTACATCTTTCATCGTTTAAATAATGCCTGGGAGATATATACCATGAGGAATCTCTATAGTAAATTAGAAAAAAGTAGAAAGTTCTACTTTTATTTTAATCATGATTTCATTTAAAGGAGCTCCACTGAGATAAAAAAAAAAAGCCTAAAAGCATAAAATTTGAAATTCTTACAAAAATCAAATGAAACATCAAAAATGGAATCATCTGCTAATGATAAAAAAGAAATGTACTCATATTTGAATTGAATACTGATATTTAAGGGGAATTTGAGTGAAAAGGGTTACTAAACTTTTCATATTTTTGGGGGCATTTTGCGCAATAAAAAAATATTATTCTGAAAAATTGTACATCAAATGGTAAACAAACTTTGTGAAGTTATTTTGCAGTCCCTTTATTTCAAAACAAAATATCTGTGGCGTCAAATAAAACAAATTCAATTACAAACCGCCGGTGCCAAATAGATGGCGATTCAGCAGAATATTGTTTCAATTTTAGTTTATTGCCAATAAGCAAAAAATTTTCCTTTTGGCCATTTACAAAATCAAGAAGTACTTATGGCAAACAAAACCACATACACGAACGTTAACATCAAATTATCATTGGGGGGGCATCATAAACTTTGTCAGAAAAAAACATTTCATACATTGTTCACCTTCTAAAACACTTATCCTGCAGTTATCTTGCAACAATTATAAAAACTCATCATTTCTTGATAAATTCTACACGTTTGTCAAATTCTCAATATTCTTATGTTAAATCTCCTAATAATAATAATAATAATAATAATAATAATAATAATAATAATAATAATAATAATAATAATAATAATAATAATAATCATAATAATAATAATAATGATGATCATAATATAATAATAATAATAATAATAATAATAATAATAAAAATAATAATAATAATAATAATAATATAATAATAATAATAATAATAATAATAATAATAATAATAATAATAATAATAATAATAATAATAATAATAATAATAATAATAATAATAATAATAATAATAATAATAATAATAATAATAATAATAATAATAATAATAATAATAATGATAATGATAATAATAATAATAATAATAATAATAATAATAATAATAATAATAATAATAATAATAATAATAATAATAATAATATAATGATAATAATAATAATAATAATAATAATAATAATAATAATAATAATAATAATAATAATAATAATAATAATAATAATAATAATAATAATAATAATGATAATGATAAATAATAATAATAATAATAATAATAATAATAATAATAATAATAATAATAATAATAATAATAATAATAATAATAATAATAATAATAATAATAATAATAATAATAATAATGATAATGATAATGATAATGATAATAATAATAATAATAATAATAATAATAATAATAATAATAATAATAATAATAATAATAATAATAATAATAATAATAATAATAATAATAATAATAATAATAATAATAATAATAATAATGATAATGATAATAATAATAATAATAATAATAATAATAATAATAATAATAATAATAATAATAATAATAATAATAATAATGATGATAATGATAATAATAATAATAATAATAATAATAATAATAATAATAATAATAATAATAATAATAATAATAATAATAATAATAATAATAATAATAATAATAATAATAATAATAATAATAATAATAATAATAATAATAGTAATGGGGATTTTTTATTTGTCCGTATACTTTCTGGTATTTAGATCCTTTTATAATAGATGCACAGACTTATAAGATTTATATAAAACAAAACAGCATCGTATGCATCATGTTTTTTTATTTATTCCTGAAAGACAGTCATGTCGTAATTAACTTCTGAGTTATGGCAGGTGTGGTGTTAAAAACATTCTGCATGGCCATGAACGAATGAATGTTGATATTAACAGATCTGACACTAGGCATACATTTCAAATCCATATGGTGGCTGATTTATGCCATGCCGCATTTGCATTTTTGTACAGAAAATACGACTTAGCACCAATCGTCACCATATAGTTCCTGTTGGTGGTTGGAATCAGCTAGAGTAAAATATATACATGTAATCATTTTTGAAACAATAAGTGGGCACCTAACATTGTGATAAATGGATACAACATTTTCATAATATATATAAATTCAAATTTCATTGTATGCACATATACCTAATAAAAAAAATCTGCTACAAAGATTTTACAAAAAACTTTGTACACTAATATATCAACACAAATGAGCCGCGTCATGACAAAACCAACATAATGGGTTTGCGACCAGCATGGATCCAAACCAGCCTGCGCATCCGCGCAGTCTGATCAGGATCTATGCTGTTCGCTTACAAACCCTATAACAAGTAGAGAAACTGATAGCAAACAGCATGGATTCTGATCAGACTGCGCAGATGCGCAGGCTGGTCTGGATCCATGCTGGTCGCAAACCCATTATGTTGGTTTTGTCGTGACACGGCTCAAATTACTTAAACAGAAGACTGGTTCAAAGGGTAAAAAACTAATATGTATCGTCTAACAACCCGTCTGTTAACATATGATAAGTTCTAAAAAAAATAATGGAAATTGTATCTTACATTTTGCCTTTCAATTCAAGAAATTCATTTTGACATTTATTAGATTAAATTGTGACAGATAATATGTTAAATGATTAGACAACCTTTGATTTTTTAATTTGTATTTCAAATGTATCATTATGTTAAATCAATGTCAGGGGATAGATGTGTAGATATTACTAAAAATCGCTGTTATTTATTTTCAAAGAATGGTAGGTTCTTTCTTGTATAAAAACTGAACATTTCGTTTCATAGCTTTCAATACATTTACAAATGTGCGTATAATATTTTCTTTCAATATCAAGTCAGTGACTTTGATGTATTTATTAGAAAATAGAAAAGCATATTTAACTATATTTAATTAAAAAAACAAACACGAACTTTAGTACGGATCAAATAAAATTAATGTGGGTATGATATGTAACCTATAGTAAAATAGTCTTTATATTATAAGCGAGTAAATTATATCATTAATTGGAACTAAATCAATTATTATACAGTATAATGAAATGGAGTATTTGTTGATCGATTCATGCATGAAGTAAATGAGAAAATAACAAAATACTAGTCTACGAATGTTGTTTCTTTAGGTGTTGTAAACTTTTCTTTTTTAAAGTCATCAAAGTGTGCATGACTATAATGTACAGAAAAAGTATATATTATATCTATTTTATTTTCATTTCAATATCAATTGGTATGACCGACCACCTTATATCAAATATAAATGTCTCCCAAGTACAATGTTGTAGAATTATCAAAGAGAAATAACTGTGTAATAAAGTTGTCAGAATTACTCCGATGATTGCACGACCTTGCTTGTCTTTCCAATGCATAAAGATTAATGTTGAAACTAATTGTTAAGAACATTTCTACGCGATGTTGTACATATATACAATTTTCGATGCAATGCGCTTAAAGATTTTACAGAATAAAGTTCTCTACACAAGTTAAGCCTATTCAATGCAATAACATAACAGGAAATAAATACAAGGAACACCGCAATGCCATGAAGCCAGGTTTTCAAACCGGAAATAAAATTATATTTTTAGTAACAGTGGCCTTGACCTTGAATCTCGAAGGCTCTAAAGCCACCTTAGCGAAGTCGTCACATAACCTTGCTACATCACAATATCTCGTTGCTATCTCTAGCTATCAACCGGAAACCAGCCCGACCGACCACCATTCGCATATCTAATAGCAGAGAATTTCAAAATTGAAAAACTGCTTAAAAGCGTACACATCAAAATGTAATAGCTCTAAGTGGACAACTAATGCAAGATTTAAAATTTAAAATCTTACATTTGATAAACATTATAATTATGTTAAGTACATGTTTGTGTATATATTGATGTTTAAAAAATGTACAGCTTGTAAATGGTTGCTGTGATTTATGTAAGTTATAGAGTTGGTTGAAAATAACCGTAAGGGAGGTAAGCCCGTTTCTGCTGTGATGAAAAAAGATTGCTGCTTTTGAAAATACTTAAAAATAGCGTGTCATTCTTGTCTTTTTAATTATATTTAGATATATGTGTATATAAAAGTAGCAAACCAAACTATGTATGTTTGACACTTTGATCTAAAGTATAATACTCTCAAAGAGGAGAGATAAATGGGAAGCAATAAAACAAGAGCGAAATTAAAAAGACGAGGGTTGAGTCTGATAATGAGAATGAAAAGCTAAACATATTTCGCCACCCTAGCACCGTTCGCATGTTCTCGAAGAACAAGACACAAAGGTACAGGGGACTATTTCACAGTACTAAGGCAGTTGAAAATAAACCATTATAGATTAAAAGTATTTTATATAAATGTAGAAGGCAATACTTATTTGATAAACAGACATATCACTAATTATTCCATAAATCTAAAAAATGTGGAACACATGATTAATAAACCAAGTCACAACTTAAATGGTTTTATAAAAACATATATAGGTCAAATGATGCTCTATTTTTAATAGTACAAAATAATTCATAAACATGATTAGTAACCTAATGTTATCTTTACCTTGACATACATAACGAGCTAGGGTAGCATTGTAGTTTTTTTAAGTTGAAAAAGTTAAGTGTTTATTAAAACGGAAATATCTACAGTAAGCAATAATTTTAACTATGGATTTTATGTCTTGATCATTCATATTTTTAATTTATTGTCATCCCTTTTCATTCTTTGGCATTATAAATGTTTATAACTGTGTTTATTGATGTTATACAACAACGTCGATTTTAGTTATATTTTTGGTCATTTTTTATCATTTCAGTCATCACAGCATTAAAATGGATTTCATAAAGTCTGCTGGAACTGCGCTTATTCTAGCCATATTGTATCTATATTTCTTTAGAGATTCGAACAAATTCTCCAAGCAACGTATAATTCTCTCTGATAATATCAATGACGAATATGATTACGTCATTGTGGGCGGGGGATCGGCAGGTTCCGTACTGGCTTCGAGATTGTCTGAAGATAGGTCCAAGTCTGTTCTTTTGTTGGAAGCTGGCGGTTTCTATGACGAAAATTCCAACATCCATTCACCTTTACATTGGCCAATTCTGCAAAGGACAGAAATTGATTGGTCTTATTTTACCGAACCCCAGGCACATTCTTGTATCGGACTTAAATATCACCAGGGTTATTGGCCACGTGGAAGAGTTCTAGGCGGATCTGGTGCTATAAATGCTATGAATTATATTCGTGGCAGTCGTTTTGATTACGATGAATGGGAAAGGCGCGGCTGTAGTGGTTGGAGTTACAAGGAGGTCCTTCCGTACTTTTTAAAATCAGAGGATATCCAAATCGAAGAATTGAAGTTATCAAGATACCACAATACGGGAGGTCCAATGGCCGTTTCTGGCGGTAGTGTAACACCTATAGCAGATATATATCTAGAAGCCGGCAAGGAGCTTGGGTATAACATCACTGATAATAATGCGGAAACCCAGGAAGGCTTTAGTAAAGCTCAACTGAATGTAAGAAAGGGTGTTAGGGATTCATCTGCAGTGGCTTTTCTAGGAAGCTTTGAAAAGCGTCAAAATTTAGATATCGTGATCAATACTTTTGTTACAAAAGTGGATATCAAAAATAAGAAAGCAACTGGGGTATATTATATCCGAAATGGAAAAAAGGAGTTTGTTAAAGCAAAACTTGAGGTGCTTCTATCAGCTGGTGCAATCAACTCTCCACAATTATTGATGCTTTCGGGCATAGGTCCTAAAGAACATCTACAAGACCATAATATCCCCGTCCATGCTGATTTGCCGGTTGGTGAAAATCTACAAGATCACCTATCTATTTATCTATTTAGTAAAATAAATGAATCAATAAGTTTATCACCGCAAGTTTTGTCAAGTTTAAAAACACATCTGCAATACAAATTATTTGGAACTGGTCCTCTTTCAATGGGTTGGACAGATGGGTCTGCTTTCTTCACCACAGATGAGAAAAAACTTGGACTGTCGTACCCTGATATACAAACCTTATTCGTCAGTGCACTGATTCCAATTTCTAATAATAACTTTAAAGATGCAATAAAGGACGAGTATGAATTAGCTAAATATAGTACTGAGGGATTCACAACAGTTCTTATTGCTACACATCCGCGAAGTAGAGGGACCATTAGACTTAACACAACTGATCCATTTGATCACCCGTTAATTGATCCGCAGTATTTTGTTGATAAGAGTGATGTGAAGGATTTTATTGCTGGAATTCGTATTTGGGAAAAGTTTCTAGAAACTGAGACAATGAAAAAACTTGGGATAAATATCGAAGACATGAAAATGTCATTTTGTGCTCACCATGAATTTAGAACAGATGAATATTGGGAATGCATGGTACGCCATCTAGCGATAACTATGTATCATCCGTGCTGCACGTGCAAAATGGGATCTGACGTCGACAAAACTACTGTATTAGACTCAAAATTGCGTGTAAAAGGAATAAATGGTCTCAGAGTTGTAGATGCTTCAGTTTTCCCTCAAACTATAGCTGGAAACACTAACGCACCTACAATTATGGTTGCGGAAAAGGCTGCTGATATCATACGTGGTATTGATTCAGTAAAAAGACTGCGAGATAATTTACCTGATAGAATCTAATTTGCCTTTTAATTCAAAAGCAACAGTCTGGATTCTTCATATACGTTAAGATACAAGTGGGCGATATCAATGATAATTTCTACTATTAATGTACAGATGGAATATATTTTGAGTTAAATTTTGAGACGGTGACTGTTTAAAGAACTCTGTGATACTCGTTAATCCGGACCCCGCTTATTTCGATTTTTATGTGTTTCGAAATTTATCTTTTTTTGTTTGTTTAGATCATAGTTCGGCGTTTCGTTATCAAGCATTACTTTTCAATAATTTGACATATACGGTTTTCACTTGTTTACTTGTAGCAAGGTAACAGACTTGTTTGTGATCGTTGAGAGTAACATGCTTATTTTTTACTTACGTATACTGCATTTCGAAGCACAGTTTCTGAAGCTTTCGCTGTCTTAACAATCAATTATCATAGTATTGCAAGCAATCCATAAGTCCCCTACCGGTAAGAACCCCAGCAAAATTCTGAAGGGCCATTGGCCATTCACTTATGTTTCTATTTTAAGTAAATTTGTTGAAAAAGTTCTTTAAAAGTGATCACAGGAAACAGTGTTTATGTACAGACGGACTGAAGGACACTCTAAAGTTATTTTTTTAAACATCCCTGTTATCAAAATATAACATTTTTAAAAGCAAAATTTTTAAAAAGGAGATAACTCTTGAAATGAAGATGTCATATATCAAAGAACAATTAGTTATAAAGGTATGAATAATGAATGTTTATTTTGGATTTGAAGTAAATGAAAGTTAAAAAACGAATAAGAAAAATTAAAAGTTTAAGGAGGAGATAATTCTGGAAATATGGATGCTAGATTTATAAACCTTGTCATATAATTATGATGTGAGAGTTTGAAGAAAATCCTATCATGATTGAAGAAGTTGGAGTAAAAATTACCAATTTCTCGAAAGAAAGTCTAAGTTCAAAAGGGGCATAATTCTGGAAATAGTCTTGCTAGAGTATTGAACTTTCTCACAAATGTTGAGTGATAATAAGAAACATATATATGAAGTTTGAAGTAGATACATTCAGAAAAAAAGAAGTTATTATAAAAGCAATATTTTTTTCATGAAAATTTTAAGTTCAAGGGAGGTAATTCTGATAAATTTTGTGCTAGAGTTGTAAACCTTGTCACATATGATGTGGTTGATGACTAGCAACTTATATTTAAGGTTTCAAGAAAATACCTTAAGAAATAAAGAACTTATAGTGAAAAAACTTAAAAACTAGAATCAGAAATCTTGAAATTCAGTCTATTTGTTGCCATAGCAACCAGAATTTTCGACATAGGAAGATAAGAAAAGGATGTGCATAATTTCCAGACTGCCATCTACCCATATGTCAAGTTTCATGAAAATATTTTCAGTACTTTTTGAGTTATCACTAGATCCAGGTTATGTGTAAAATTTGCCATATTTTCAGTCTATTTGTTGCCATAGCAACCAGAATTTTCAGCATAGGAAAAAAATACGTGCATAATCTCCATAATGCCATCTATCTATATATCAAGTTTCATAAAAATATTTTCAGTAGTTTTTGCGTTATCGCGGGATCCAGGTTATGTGTAAAATTTGCCATATTTTCATTCTATTTGTTGCCATAGCAACCAGAATTTTCAACATAGGAAGAAAAGAAAAATACGTGCATAATCTCCATACTGCCATCTATCCATATATCAAGTTTCATAAATATATTTTCAGTAGTTTTTGCGTTATCGCGGGATCCAGTTTTTATGGACGGACGGACTGACGGACGGACGGACAGACGGACGGACGGAGGATAAACCTAAAGTCCCCTCCGGTAAACCGGTAGGGGACTAATAATGCTTTTCTTGCATTTGTTGAATCACGGACTTTTGCTTTTATTATTGTCAATGAAAGTCCGTGGTTTAATCATCCGAATTTCTTTCATATAAATATTACTAGATGAATGGCTAAAACATCATTTCGTATTATATTATATCGCTATTTTCAAAATCTGATTGGCGATCTCATGAGACAAATGAATGTATACGTGGGTATTCAAATGATACCAGATAGTGCCCACTCTTTGGTATGTAAATAAAGTTTTGTTATGACCATATAATTGTTATATGCGACGTTTTTGTATGTAACAAAATAAACTAAAGAATGTATCAATATTTAATGTATGATGCCTCGGGTTATATAACTGAATAATGTGCGTTACCGCATAACATTCCAGCCCTTAAAGTACTATCATTACGCTACATTTATTTACATTTGAGAGTATGTAATTTTGATGTATAATGCGAATATCATTATATAGTTTGGTCTGACAAATACTGTCCCGGTGTTTTTTCTCCCTAGTACTCGACGGCGGTAAATTTGAAACATAAACTATAACTTCAAGATAAGTACAACCACACATGAACGTTTGAGAGGACATCTATGAAAAAAAATCTTTTGTTTTTTGTTTTATACTTTTTATATTTTTTCCATTTTTCTTTAACTAGATGATCGTGCATAAGTCAGCTTTTATATATAATATTTTTTGCCTATATCGAAACTGAGTCGTTTGAAAACATTCGGTTATAATAAACAAGAGGGCCATGATGGCCCTGAGGTCGCTCACCTGTATATAGCCCAACCCCCCCCCCCCCCCCGGGCCAATTTTTACCAAAGGGCTTTTATTTGAACAGACTTGGTAGACACCCATAAGAAGATGTTTCATGCTAAACATCTAAGTTCTAGCTCATTGGGTTTTTTAAAAGAAGATTTTTAAGTTTTTACTATACACATATAGTTAAAAACAATGACACCCCTGGGCTGGGCCAGTTTTGACCCCCGGGCTTTTATTTGAACAAACTTTGTAGATATTTACTTAAAGATGTTTTCATGTATAATATCTAAACTCAAGCTATTTTGGGTTTTTTCAAAGAAGATTTTTAAGTTTTTGCTATACACATATAAGGAAAATCAATGACCCCCGGGCAGGGCCAGTTTTTGACCCCAGGGCTTTTATTTGAACATACTTGGTAGACACCCATTAGAACATGTTTCATGCTAAATATCTTAGCTCTAGCTCTTTGAGTTCTTTAAAAGAAGATTTTTTAAGTTTTTACTATATGCATATAGGGAAAATCAATGACCCCCTGGGGCGGGGCCAATTTTGACCCCAGGGCTTTTATTTGAACAAACTTGGGTAGACACTTATTAGAAGATGTTTCATGCTAAATATCTTAGCTCTAGCTCTTTGGGTTCTTTAAAAGAAGATTTTTTTAAGTTTTTACTATATGCATATAGGGAAAATCTATGACCCCCTGGGACGGGGCCAATTTTGACCCCAGGGCTTTTATTTGAACAAACTTGGTAGACATTCACTAGAAGATGTTTCATGCCAAATATCTTAAGCTCTAGCTCTTACGGTTCTTTAAAAGAAGATTTTTTAAGTTTTTACTATATGCATATAGGGAAAATCAATGACCCCCCGGGGCGGGGCCAATTTTGACCCCAGGGCTTTTATTTGAACAAACTTGGTAGACACTCACTTAGAAGATATTTCATGTCAAATATCTTAGCTCTAGCTCTTTGGGTTCTTTAAAAGAAGATTTTTTAAGTTTTTACTATATGCATATAGGGAAAATCTATGACCCCCTGGGCAGGGCCAATTTTGACCTCAGGGCTTTTATTTGAACAAACTTGGTAGACACTCATTAGAAGATGTTTCATGCTAAATATCTTAGCTCTAGCTCTTTGGGTTCTTTAAAAGAAGATTTTTTAAGTTTTTACTATATGCATATAGGGAAAATCAATGACCCCCTGGGGCGGGACCAATTTTGACCCCAGGGCTTTTATTTGAACAAACTTGGTAGACATTCACTAGAAGATGTTTCATGCCAAATATCTAAGCTCTAGCTTTTACAGTTCTTTAAAAGAAGATTTTTTTAAGTTTTTACTATATGCATATAGGGAAAATCAATGACCCCTGGCGCGGGGCCAATTTTGACCCCAGGGCTTTTATTTGAACAAACTTGGTAGACACTCACTAGAAGATGTTTCATGCCTAAATATCTTAGCTCTAGCTCTTTGGGTTCTTTAAAAGAAGATTTTTTAAGTTTTTACTATATGCATATAGGGAAAATCAATGACCCCCTCGGGCGGGGCCAATTTTGACCCTAGGGCTTTTATTTGAACAAACTTGGTAGACACTCATTAGAAGATGTTTCATGCCAAATATCTAAGCTCTAGCTCTTACGGTTCTTTAAAAGAAGATATTTAAAGATTTTTCTTTCGGTTGCCATGGCAACCAGAGTTCTGCATGAAATGGAATTCTTTGAACAATCTTGATAGAGCTTCATACAAAGAGTATTCCTGCCAAGTTTCATTAACATTGGCCTTGCGGTATCATAGAAGATGTCCTTAGAATATTTAAAATGTGGACGGACGACAGACGACGGACGCCATTTGGTTGGCCATCCTAAAAGCTCACCTGCACTTTGTGCAAGGTGAGCAAAAAACACTGAGAACTTATTTAATTAAGTAACGATATACCAATATTTGGTTTTGATGTGACTTGTGTTTGCTTTTAGTGTATACATTTATGTTGGGCGTTGCAACAAGAATTTAACATGAACGATATACTAGTATTAAGTTTTGGTGAGGCATACCAGTATTATGTATTCATTCAAAGTATTAAATATGCACGAGTCAAATATTAATCGCAATAATTATACCAGTATGATAATGAAGTATTAATGTGATATACCAGTATTGGTATTAATGCAGTATTGGGAATATGTGACATCAGAAATATTGGTGGGATATTGATGTGTCATACCAGTATTCAGGTTTTTTGATATGCTAGTATTAGGTATATATAAGATTGATTATTGATGTGACATACCAGTATACATGTAACAGAATTTGGTTCTCCTATAACAAACCAGTACTGACTGCACTTTGAAAAAAGGAGAAAAAATAAAAAAAAAATGTTTTTTTTATTTTAGATTTTTTAATTATTTCATTAAATAATAATCTTTTATTTAATTTTTTGGGGAAAATTTTACAATTTTATTTTCATTTTCTTTTAACATTGAAAAACTTTAAACCGGGGTAAATTTTTAAAAAACGAATTTAAAAAATAATTGGAAAAAAAACCCTACAACTAGAAAACACTCCCGTTAAAATGCCCTTTTTAAACAGAAAAAAGTTAAAAAAAAATTTTTAACAAAATTTTTTAAAAAAGAACTTTAAAAAAAACCCCCTTTTTAAATTGAAAGGCCAAAAATTCCCCGCAAATTTTCTTTTTTTTATTCAAATTAAATTTATGGCCCGCAAAAAATTCCCCCAAAAAAAATTTAGATACATTAAAAATTTTTTTTTAATTTTTTAAAAGGTTGGGGGGAAAATTACATTTAGAAAATTTAAAAGATGTACAATTGGGACATACACCCAAAAATACAAAAAAAGAGAAAGAAATTACCAGGAAAAGTGGGAAAGAGAAAAAACTAACATTTTGAAAACATATGAAAAAATTTACACTGGCAATTAAAATAAACCCAAAATTTTGTTCCCCCCTTTTGGGTTAAAACCGGGGGACTTGGGCCCAGATTTTGGAATTTTTGGGTTAACAGAATTTAAAAAAGGGTTAGACCCTTGAAGAAGTAACTATAAACACAAGAAAAACCAAAAAAAACTTTTTAAATCGAACAATATAACAAACTTCAACAAGCCCCTTTTGGCCCTCCCCTGACCATTTCTTTCCCGGGCATGGGAAATTTAAAAAAACATCTCAAAATAGAGATATATTTGTCAAACACATTTAAACAGGTAAAAAGTCACTATCTTTTAAATTTGACACAATTATTTTATTAAATTAAATTTTCACTTTTAAACAACACTTTGGGCAAAGAAAAAGAAAACCCCATGTCCTTTAAAATGACTTGTTTTTTCACAAGTTAACAAAATGTTAACACAATTTAAAAGTGTTCTTTAAAATTTTTTTAAGTATTTAATCCCCAAACGGAACACAAGTTTTGGGGGCCGGGGTTTTTTGTAAAATTTTTATTTAATTTTCTATTCAAAAAATTTCCCCTTAAAAATACTTTTTTAATAAATTCCCCCTTTAACCAAATTTTGTAAATTTTTTAAAATGGGATATGTAATTTCCCTTTCCTTTTCAAAACAAACTCTGTGTAAGAATCTGTTTTGGTGACTGGGAAAAAACTAGCATTGGGGAAGCGTGATCGGGGGGGTCATGGGGTAGCTTTTTTTTGTTTAGTTGGCCCCCCTTTGGGGCAACTTGGGGCTGGGGGGATTGGGGGGAAACCAATTTGCAAAAAGGACGTTGGGGGGTTTGGGTGGAGTGGAGGGGAAAAAAGAGTCTTTTTAGGGTTTGAGGGGCGGAAAAGGTTTCGGGATAAGATCCAAAAAAGGGGGAATTTTGGGGAAATTTCCCTTTACCTTTCCTTGGTCGATGGTTTTTTCTTTTCTGGGGGCGGGGTTTTTTTTGGTTCAAACCTTAAAAAAGGGCGAAAGGGACCCAAAAGGTCGGATATAATTGGGAACAGGGTTGGGCTGTGTCTCTGTTAAAGTAAAATTTTAAAACTGAGGGGGCAAGTCTACACAATATGTGGTAAATTATTGATAAAAATTATTTGTGCTTTTTTCCCCATCAGTGTAACAAAACTTTTTTTGTAGAATATGTTTCAAGAAACTAATGGATCATACAGGCATCTAGTATCACAGTATTATATATTTTTACTTTTATTGAATACACTTTGCACTTACTCACATTATATAAACGGGTCTACTCCTTAAAAGGTTTAAATATTAAGGCTCCAAAGAAAGGTAGAGTGATCGGGAGTAGCAGGTGCTTGTTTTCTCAAAACATAGTCGACATTTAATTGTAAAGGCTGGCAAGACATGGTACAGTAATTTCATTTAACTAGTGTAATATTAAGAATAATCAGTAATAAGATAATTTAGAGATGCTTACCAGAGTGGGAGTATATCTGTTATCTGGGGTCTTCATGTAGGTAATGTTGGCCACACTATCGTCTATCATAATTGGTTTTGTAACACCCCAAGTCAGATCAGCATCTTCAGATTCGCACAAATCTCGTGACTTAGTTCTTGACAGGATTGGAAAGTGTTTCTACAAGACAAAATAATAAAACAATTGTAAAAATGCAAACAGAAAAAGTAAAAGATACTGAAAATAGGTTTCATTATCGAATATGATAAGAATTCAATTCTTTATTTGAAGAGCCTGTCAGTCTTATATTACTTAAGAAGTTTATTTTATATAAGCTTAAACATTACTAGTAAAAACCAAAAACTTATTATTAAAGATTTTATGGTTCTGTTTACAGACATCATGAATCTTAAAATGATTTTATCATTCTACTTACCTTAAGAGATTCCCCGAAAGTTCGGCTTCTGGAGTGTTTTCCCTTCTTCGTACTAGTAGTTTGAACATTACCGGCTCGGTTGAACTGTTTCAAGAGTTTCTTCTTCTTAGCTGACTCGGGCATGGCTTGGACGTGGGCATAAAGTTGGGCGAGGGCAACCTGGGTATCTTGGGCGGAGTCAAATTCTTCTGGGGATTTTCTCTCGGCAAACGTAAGGACAGTATTCACAGCACTAGAGCTACCATACTGAAAATTGGAAAGAACAATACTCATAAAGTACATTTATATTTATATATTATTTTTCAATGCATTTATTCAATATTTTTATGAATTTTATAACTGATTAATGTACTTTTGAACACAAATTATTCTTAAGCACCATTGGTTCGCATGAAATTTTTAATCTATTTTTCTTCTTTGAACCTCAAATTTCATTAACTATATCTTGCTACTATGACTAACGTAGTTGAAAAGATTAAAATTGCATAAAATTTTCAACTTTTTCTTTCTTTGAACACTAAAATTTTTATATGAAACTAAATATTGTTATTATGAATCAGATAGTAGAAAAGATATTGTTACCACATTATATATTAGTTATAAAATTGTTTATTGACTGATACAATGTGATGATATATTTACCTTAGCTTTCTGAATGTTGGCACGGTCATCAACAGCTTCTTTATCACATGTGAAAACATCAACATTAGGGTCTTCCATCTCACGCCAAAAGTTCGCTACATCTTCACCAAGTTCTTTCGGGACGGCAAACAAGGTCGGGGCTTTCTCGATCATACCAGCTATAGCCTTGCCTAACACTGGGGATACCGAGTGCATCTCTTCTGGTGTAAGCTATAAATATGTACAAAAATATTTAATTAAAATGCTTATTTGAATTTGCCGTAGCTATCAGCCTTCTTCAGTGGCATTTACAAAACACATAATTAAGTATACAAAACTTGAACACAAATATTTTCGTTACAAATCTGATACTGAGAAAACAATGAAAGACTCCTTATGAAATATTCAATTCCTTAGGTAATATTGGTGAAAAAAAATCATTTGAAAGAGTGTTGTGGAAAAAAAACATATTTAAAAAACCAAACTGGCAATGATATGTTGATTTCTTATTTTGATATGATTTCTTTGCATATTGTTACAGAATCTGTTTCCAACAGGCAAACTAATCAGTTAATCAAATTAAAAAGTTTAGAAATTTACCTTTCTAGGACATAGTAGACTAGGAGCAAAGACAACACCGAGGGAACCGGCGGACATCTTGTTATCTGGGACGTTGGCTGCCTTGTGGAGTAAGTCAAGTAAACATTCTAGAAGGATGGCATTTTCTCGTGGTAATAACAACATCAACAACTGTAAGGCTTTCATCTGCTTCTCACTGGCTCGAATCTTCTCCTTCTCTAGCTGACAGTGACTACACATGTCTAAAAATAGAAACACTGATATAAATATATACACATAGATAAATATAGAAAATATTAAATTAATGTAAAGTTATGCACTAAAATTTCATTGTTTATGGTCATATTACACTTGCTTGCAGGCACTGATCCATATATACCATTTCAACGTTTTCATTTTTTCGTATTTATTCCAGCACACTTTTTTTTTACCTTTCCTTACTTTAATTTTTTTAGCACCATCATTTTATACCATTCTCTCTTCTTTCTTTAATGTACTTAATAAAGAGATCAAAATATAGCTGCAATAATGATTATGAAAGTTGATATGAAAAGATTATTTCTTGACTTACCAACTATCTGTTGATGAGCCTCGTAGTGTTTCTGTGTAAGAAGTGGTTCTGGAAGTTCAGCAAGAAGTTGTTTTAGTACTGTGGCTACGTCGTGTGGTGAGAACGTACCATCGTTCAGGTTCAACTCGGCACCTTGGTAAATCCACTCTTTCAGAAGACGTTGTCGTGTAACATTACCGGTCTTACGGAACAAACCCTCAGTCTTCAAATCTAACATAGAAAAATAAATCATTTAAAAATTTAATAATAATTTTCATTTAAATTAAGAAAAATTTTTTAAATTTTATTATTGTGTTTTAACCATTTAAAAGTTTTTGGGATTTTTAGCTTTTTGGTAAAATTTCATGGGCCCTTCCAGTTTTTTATTTCATGCAAAGCAGAATCGAGGGAAAAAGAATTTTGGAAAATTTTTTGAAAGGGTGAAAAATCCTTTGCTTAATTTTGTTATAAAAAATTTATTTTTCAAATAAGGAAAAAATTTTTTTTTAAAACACCGTCTGATTTGTTGGGAAACATCAGCTTTTAATAAGGGTACTATATCCCTTTGACGGGAGGGCAAAGAACACTATACGATTGAAAAATTATCAAATAATCAGCAGATTAAAATTTTTAAAATATTTACCCAATGTCCATTAATTAGAAAAGAATGGACAATCCTTGACCATTACAATCTAAGGTACAGGAACACCTGGGTCATAAAATTACCAGTTTCATTGGTTTACCTCCATAAAAGTTTGTTTGCTGTTTATGTTGGACAAAGTTTAATTGGCGTTTTCATGTGTAATAAAATGTATAATGAGATAACATTATCAGAGAGGATATTTTCTTTTCCTCTTAGAGACTGTTCGATTTGTTTATTTTGCATTTAGATGAAACCTTGAATCACAATATAGGTCAATATTTGTTTAAGATAAGGTTGAAGCAGTAACAAGCCCATCTATGAGGTAACCATAGCACTTTTACACTATCTCCCTACTTTTCCTAGGCAAAGGTGTTAATATAACTCTTGAAACAAAAGGGTCTAATCATGAGAGGGAATTAAACTGTCACATTTGAAGAGATCCCTGTACAATCCTGGGCAGATAAAATCCAAGGATAACAGAAAGGGATATTTCTGCTACATCCATTACAGTTATATAACAGGGATAACAAGATTAAAGTTTCTAGTCCAATCTGACAGATATCACTATCCCTTTATCACTTAGCAATATTTGCACAGCTATTGTCTATCTATTTACCAGGCACTCTGTGTAATACAGGAGATACCCCTGCAGCAACTATCTCTAAATCAAGAATAAACAGAGCAAGTCTGGTCAAACACCAAAATATTCCAAATGCTTTTATAGTATATACAGTATATTTCAGTTGACACATTGCCATCATAGAAACATAGAAAACATATGAATCGTATATTATTTTTACCTTTTTTCTTCGTAGAGAATGGTGTAGTGGCTTTCTTTTTGTTGGCGTTACAATCAACGGCTGTTGAGTCCATGAACATGTCCTCCAACTTACTACCGTCTAGTTCTAGAAGGAACGAGAGATGCATCTTACAGAATGTCATCAACTTTTCTGGCATACAGTTACGTAATCGGTTCACATTCTTTTCTGCTTCCGTCTGGCCACGACGAACATCCGACGCAGACATGTCATTGGCTATAAAACAAATAAAAAATACAAGTTAGTAAACATGTAAAAGCCATTAAATTAAGTATATGACATATTATTGTTATTTTTTTTATATGTGTAACTGAATCGAGCTCTGCTGTGAGCAGATTTTTATTTTCATACCATACCATATTTTTTACATTTAATTAAGAATCTGCTGAACCCCTTTTCCTTAAAATTTTATTTCTGCTTTTTTATATATAAATATATTGTATATAACAAAATTCTGTAAAAATTCTGTTCAGAAATTTGACAAACCTCTGGTAATACATCTGATTGTATATATAGAAAGTATGCTTAAATCCATTATTTCTTTTTCATATTGTAATTCAAATATATTCCAACAAAATTTCACATCTATACTACACAACTGTCTACTCTGGTAATTTTACAGTCTTGATCACAATTCATGTCATCCAAGCAACTGACAGGTCATATGACAGGTCACATGGTTTCTTCATTTATCACAGTTACCCAATGGCTGTTAACCATTTTAATTAAAGTCATATAACCCCTGATCCTACAAACTGTCAAATTGTTCACACATTCTATGATAGGTGCATAAAAGGGGAAGTAACCCCCTGCTGATTGCTCATACACAACTTTTAATTAATTCCCTATTTCATCTTATTGTACAATATGATTCATATTGTTGCCTAATTAGAAACAACAAAAGAATACTGATTTGGGTGCTAAAGTTGGGTAGATAAGAGTTCAGAAAAAAGAAACAGTTTTCCTTTGGTAAGTGTGGAAGCCAACTGAGTATTAACAACTCTATGTGGGTATAAACGCATTGTGCAATGATCACATCACTGGGAATTTTTCCTTTGATATCGATTGAACAAAAAAATGTTACCCTTTGTGATATAATGATAATATTGTAAAGTCATACAGCAGGAAGATGAAATGTATTTAAGTGGGTATTTTTTTTTAGAATAATTGAATTATTTTGAATTTTAAGAATATGATGCTCTTGTTTATTAAAATATCCATAATTTTGAAAAACGAAAAAAAAAAATATATTTCACAAAATTATTTTTTTTTTAAAAAAAGAGGTAAACTTACAGATGGAAAGTGACTTCAAATTAACAGTCAAAGTACACAGTTTCTTGGTAGAATATTTCTCCTTCATTTTAGTAAATTTTGATAATCCAACACTAGTATTGCTTGTTTTATTTGGTGTACAAACCATTATGAAGATTTACACAAATATTCAGATATTTAAACTAACAAATTTTTGCACAATATGCCAAACAACAATTGTTACACTCAAGTTTTTAATTGTCACTCAATAGATTTTACTCAAATTAAGATTGTTAAACAATAAAATCGCATCAAAGTTTGTCAGCTTTCACTCAAACACTCAAAATTAATCACAGTTACTCCTTATTATTATTATTATTTGAACCTTGAATCTATGACACAGTTGAGAGTATGAAACTGATGTAGTACTGAGAAAAGTTTGGATGAAGTTTATATATATTCAGTAAACAATAAATTTCACACAGGACACACTTATCTTAAATTGTCAATTAATTTCAAACAATAGAATCAATTAAGCAAAGTGAACAGAACAATAGTGCCAATTAATGATATATACAATGTACAGTCTGTAAGTGTGTCTGTCTGTCTGTCTGGTCTCAGGTAGCAATTATCAACATTTATTTCTAGTTAAGTGTGAGACAATAGAAGGGACACTGGCTAGACATCTGGGTAATTTTATGGCAATTCACAACATTAATTATTTCTTTTGTTACAACTAATTTATGGTCAATATAACTTAAATGCTTCATCATAATTTTGTTATTCTGCATGAATTACAGAATGTTGCATTTTCATGAATTATATATTGATAATAATAATATAATTGATTTTAACAAATAAATTTGAAAATTCATGAGTGAAATTTTTCTTACAAGGTATTAGGTCAATGTGAAAGCCTACAGATCAAGTTAAATTATCCAATTTTACTTTTATAATTAAATTCATACAAAAATCAAAATTATACTTATCTTAGAAAGAATATATAAATGTTAATTAACGGGTCAAATTTGGCCGTTTAATTTTAAATTGCTGAAAAATAAAAACTGACAAGTAAGAATTAATTAAAAAATTTGGTGAAAAAAGACACATTACTGCCAAATTTTGTTTTATAAACTAAGGTAAAGTTTCCATTAGGTCTGTTGAATTACAGGAAAGGTTTACCATCTGGAAAAAATGTGTCAATATCTCCTAAGCAGGACGCAAATTTCAGTTTTTTATTAAAGTACCGAATGTTATTATGAAAAAAATGCCTGGTGAACGGTCTCATTTGAACAATTTCCCGAAACAGTATTTTGCTATATAAAATTTTGAATAAATATTTTTTATTTAAAGCAGAGATATAAGATCAATTTTTACAATTCATAGGGACCAATTACTGTATGCGAATAATATGCCAATCACTCAATTGAAAATATATAACACCTCATTAATATCAGACATGTTTTTTTGTAAATTCAATTTACGTAAAAACAATTATTCAGTTTTTAAGGATTTATTTTCAAGGATCCTTGAAAAAACATGTAACAGGTAAACTATGTCATGGGACAATTGTTTGAGAAATAGCCTAACACTGCTGGACATTAGCCTATAAAAATGTTGAATCAAAATACCCCTAACTTTTGTCATTTAAATTATGTTGTCCCTTATATTCAGAACTGAGAAAATCTTTTATAAAACATGTATCTTTTCCAACTTTAAATAAGTTCTATTCTATTATGTCATCAGGAAATAAAAGTAGAATATTGCAACTATGTAAATTTTTAGATAAAGCATTCGCATTAAGATCTAGTGTTTTAGAAACAATGCAAGAATTGTAAATTTGATATGTTTCTGCATTTTATGTGAACATTGTGTATTTGTATTGAATGTATTGAATGTATGTCATATTTCAAGTGATTTATGTATGTTTTGTATGTATTGCCAAAGGCAAAGTTTTGTCGAAAATGCAATAAAATTTGAATTGAAAAAATTGAATTGATAATTATTAACCTATAAATCTGTATTTTTTTAAATCAATTATCAAATTGTTTAAATAAATAACAAAATTAAACATGAATAAGAATTATTTTTCTACTTTAGGTTATAAGGTCATATTAAAGCTACAGTTAAGAATTATAATTTTACTTTATTTAATTTAATTGCAATACAAAAATCAAAAGATTACAATAATGTATCACTTAAGAACTGTTTAATTTTTAAATTTTGCATTTGAAAAAAAATAATCTTGACACTTAAAAGAATTAATTAAAAAACAAAAATATTTTGCATTTGGAAAAAAACAACAGCCAACACATTTACATTTGCAGGTAATTTTAAATAAAGTTTTTATAAACTGACAGGTGAGAAGTTGCACAAAAGAGCAATTAAGGTGGCTGTGAAATTACAGGTAATTGGTGTTACTCTCACTGGAAACAAAGTGTGATCAATATCTCCCTATACTGCTAATGGACTGACAAAATTTCTGGGGGTTTATTTCACTTAAAAGTCCACCTGACAGTTATTATACAACAAAGAGATGTTGCCTGGTGGTAAGGTCTCATTTGCAACAAATATCCAAACCAGAAACAGTCATGCTTTGCTTTATAAATCTGAAAACACTATTTTTTCCCCACTTTAAAATCGATGATGGTATGATAAGAGTCATACTTTTATGATTTTGCATTCAAAGGAGTACCAAATTACTAGTATGCGTAAACCTAATATGCAATCACTCAAATTTCGAAAATTTAGTATAATCACCTCATTAAATAAACATGTTTTTTGTATGGGTGTCAAATTTTCAAATTTATTCGTCCAGGAGAAAAATTTATTCAGTTTTTAAGGGAATATTTATTTTTCAAAAGACTCCTTGAAAAACAATTTGTTTTGAACAGTGTACTAACTACTGGTCAGGGTGAGGGACAATTGTTCTGGGAGACAATCAGCCCTAACACCTGCTGGACATTCAGCTTCTAAATCAACTGTCAATGCAAAAACACCCCTTAACTCTTTGCCCATCATTTGATAAAAATCTTTATGGTCCTAATTCAACCCTGAAGGCCCATTCAAAAATATGGTCAAGGGACAAAACATGGACAGGAAAGACTTTGCTAAGGGAATCATTTCTTTATCTAATAAAAATCTAAATTGTTGAAAAGTTAAGGCAAATTTTCCAGACAATGATACAGATCTAAGATAACAGTGACAAAGTATTTTCAATCAAAATTTACAACTGTGAAATATATGACCCTACAACTTGTTGTCATGGGGAAAGAAATACATTTAAAATTTTCAAATTTCACAAGTTATCAATTAATTTAATCATGTGTAAATCCTGAGTGAAGATAAATAAATATCAAGGGATTAAAAAATATAACTTAAATTGAAGCATAATTAAAATTAAAATTCTATACATTTAAATTCTTTAAATGGCAAGTGTCAAAGAATGGCGGATTACAGCTATCTAAAAGTTTATTTTTTCTTCTGCAATAACAATAAAGCTGTAAAAATCCTTATGCAAATTTCAAAAAACAGGTGTTTGGTGTTATCACAAGGTGTAAAGAAACCTTTCAGAGATGGTTTAAAACTCATCACTATAAGAGGATGAACAGAGATAATGGTTTACAAATAAGACAGGTCAGTCCATACAATAAGTCCACCCCTCTGACTTTTTAATCTGTGAAAACCTTTTGTTACTTAAAGTGGGATTTATTTCATCCCTGTTGGGGTCCATATCCAGCAAGGTGTTCCAAATACCAGTGACACTGTTTCCATTAGGGGTGCTAGGTGCCAGACTCAGCAAGTAACCTGACAGGGGATTTCACACACTGATAAAGGAAATAAAGGGGATCAAGTGACTAATTTCATCCAGACTCCCTATTAATTTGTCTACTGATCACACTTCCTGTCACTGAGAACCTTTGCAAATTATTGATACCTTTTTTTGTAATCATTAAGAATAAAAA